GCTTCTCGTTGCGTCACACCTCAACCCGCCTCAAAGCCAACGCTGATTGGACGTTCGTTTGGTGAACGGCTCCAAATTTTCTTCAACGGAGAGTCTCCAGACTGATCTGCGAGTGAAATCTTGAAAGCTCGCGAGACCAGGATGGTCTCACGAGGCTAGCAAACCCTCACCACACTGTCCAGATTTTATTTGTAAAACAAAAGTAGATGAAAGATCAGTTTAAATTTGTGATTATAATGTAATAATCTGAAAGGGCAAAACAGTTTTGCAAGGCACTGCATCCCTCGCACTAAAGGTGGAGCTTTAAAGTCAGGCAGGTGTTTTGTAAATGCATTTAATTATCAAGCCATTTGCTTACAGATTTATAACTTTAAAAAACCTACTTCAGCTCATTACAGTAAAAGTTTAGTGTTTTCAACTGAAGCAAAATGAGGAGCAGAATAACGGACAGGGCTTTAGATGTAAATCTCAGGAACTGAATGATCACGTCTGAAGTACGAGGGGATACCAGGGGGAAGGGGAGACGTTGGGGGGGAAAGTGGATGGAGGATAGGAGGAGAGGAGAGGAAGATGCTACACATCTGTGGAGGTGGAGAGAACAAAGCAGGACAGGACTGAGAGGTGAAAGGAGGCCGAGTGGGTATGGGGGGTGGGAGGGAGTAGGAAGAGGGTAGATTTAGAGCAGAAGGAGAGAAGCTGGGAGGAAAGAAGAAGGTGGAACATCTAAAAGGACTTTGGGGAGTTGGTGGAGGAGAAGGGGAGTAAGGCAAGGCAGATAAATGAGGGAGAACAGGAGCAACAGGCAGGAGGTAAACAGGGGGTGTGGGAGGGGGGGAAGGGAAGGTGAAGACTGAGGAGGACAAAAGTCTAGTTTCAATCAGACAAGAAGGCGTATAGATGGAGTTTAAAGGCTGACAGGTTTTAGGATACAAAGGGAGAGAAGGACTATTAACTTTAGGAGCTGCGTTATTGCAAATGCACAAGACACATGAGAAGAAACAGGATGGTGACAGTTAGACAGTAATCAGACAAAAACACAAACCAGACAAAAACACAAACAACATGCAAAACAGACATGATAAGCGCTGACAGTAAACGGAGAAAAAAAGAGGAACTGATGAAGGAGACAATGGTCTTCAAAATGCAGCATTTCTGCAGTCAGAGGGTTGCTGATTAGCTGATTAACCACAAGATCCGAAACTGGGAGCTTCTTCATTAACCAACCTTGAAAACGTTTAAAACTCAAGGTAGTCAATTTGTTTCTTGTTGTAGCCACAACAGTAGCCATAATAGTAGCCGTACTAGTGGGCTACAAAGAAGGAAATCCACAAAGACTATTCTAAAAAAAAGCGCAGAAATTTAGAGGCTGGAGCGGTTATATATCTAAATCAAAGTTACAAATTATCATAAAGTATATCATAAATATATAAAAAAAAATATATATATAAGGAAAGTTCATTTATTTCACGATTTCTACTTTAAAAAGTGAACCTTTGTATAAATAATTACAATTTAAGTTGGTGACTAATATATTCCAACTTTTTTCCCTTTTTGTGTTTCTCTTTTACTCTAAACATCAGAAAAAGAGAAAACACAAAGGAGCCGATATTATAATATGAAGTTTTTTAATCACTAATTAACTTTTTAAGGTGTTTCTTATGCCTAATGCCTTCGACAATACCTTACTACCAAGATATTCTGAGCTGTAACTGTTGATCTCATTAAAGGTAAAGGAAGAGGATCTAAGAACATAAGCTAAGGCCTACAATGTATTATAATCTGATCAACCTTACAATTCCTCTTCATTTGCAATTGGCTAAACTGCCTTAAAGTGGCATCAAGGTGATCTAACATGTCAGCAAATCAGCATAGGACCAATAGAGCATGATGATGGAGTTTTAATAGATGGTTGACAGAGAGGACAGCAGCAGAAGCAGGCATCTGATCCAGAAGCTGCCATGGTTATTAGATGGTACTCATTCCTGGGATTTAGCTGGTTAGTGTTGCTGTTTACTGCCAGGATAATTTGCTGTAGACATTAGTTGCTCAGAAGCAAGAGGAAGAAGAGGAGGAAGAGGATGGGAGTCTGCTGGTCTCAAAGCAGAGGAAGCTACAGTGGAGCGTAAAGAACAGGAGGCTTGGAGGACAGAGGAGTAGCAGATACAGTACAGCTAGCAGCAGTAGAAGAAAAACACAGCAAATAAAACAGTAATTTCAACTCATCTGTGAGTGTCTTCTCAACTGAGAGGGATCAAAACTCCTAGCTGAGTTGAAAAGGCTTTACCTACGGAAAAGTATTAGGGCCACTGAAAAAAAAAAAAAAAGTTTACTGATTTTAAAATTTTATTTCAATTTAGTATTGGAAAAAAGTCAGAATTCTGACTTTTTTCTCAGAATTCTGACTTTCATCTCAGAATTCTGACATTTTTTATTGTCAGAATTCAGTCAGAATTCTGAGAAAAAAGTCAGAATTCTGAGAAAAAAGTCAGAATTCTGAGAAAAAAGTCAGAATTCTGACTTTTTTCTCAGAATTCTGACTTTTTTATTGTCAGAATTCAGAATTCTGAGATTAAAGTCAGAATTCTGACTTTTTTCTCAGAATTCTGACTTTTTTCCCATACTAAACTGAAATAAACTTTAAAAATCAGTTAACTTTTTTTTTTTTTTTTTCCACTGGGCCTAATCCTCTTCCGTATTTACCAGTTTAGAAATTGTTAAAAGAGTATTCTTATGTGATTAAAAAAAGCAGGCAGCCTTGAGCACAAGTCATGCATGCAGTTAATTGTCCTTAATCACTGAGAAACTGCCTTAACCCTTAAAACTATACAAAGATCCCACTGTTTCAAAACGACAAGGATCTTTGAATTAAGATGTGTTTAGGAACATCTATATGGCAGATTGGATATCAGATTACTGGCATCGTTTTGATTAAAATATATTAGGGTGCAAAATAAAAGTGAGTTAAAAGCAAATAAATGTGTTTCCATGCATACAACTCAGAGTAACAGAAGTAAAAAATAATAATAACAATAATTATAATGATCCTCAATGGGTCCAGCATAACAAAAGATCACTGCTACATTTCATTCATTAGCAGGAAAGAGAAAAGGAAAGAGGTAGAGAGGATAAAAACAGACTTTCCGTACTGTATTAACGCAAACATGCTGTTCTGAGGAACCTGTTGCTCCCCTTTGGCTTAAAGATATTTTCTATTAAAGTATCAAATACTGACCCAAACAATATTATTATTATTACAAAAATGTCCAAACTGCTGTCTTGCCTCATCTGACAAAGAAACCTCATCCATTTGTTTTTCTAAATAATCAAATTAATCAGATGAGACAGAGACAGCGATCACTTCTCTCATCATGCGTTTGTGCATTTTCCATAAACAAACACACAAAAGAATCGTGCACCATCAGTGGTGCAGATTTTTAAGCATTCAGAACCCTTATTATGTTTTCCCTTTTCTAAAAGCCTACATGATAACTCCAGTGAAGCTATAGAATTAGGCTTAATCAAGTAACTAGAGCCTTTAGGTGGTTTTTGTAGCTCTCCAAGTGTTCGGTCCTACCTGACTGCTTCAGTGTTTATGTGCACAGTCAGCTCTAACTATCTGGCTGAAAGAGGAAGTGAAAAATGAAGGGATAGACTGAGAGGATAGTTCAGCTAGGGTGGGCTACACTTTACCATCGGACTGATCCGGGAATACTGCGTTATCATCGGCAAAGCAGCGTGTGCCTGTTATGTTACCGTAGTCAAATATGGGCCCTTCCAGTAAAGTCACAATATCCAACCGATTGATCTTAGTCAGCACCGCAGTTAAAGTATCCGCTGGAGAGAAGAGAGAAAAACAGACAGGGAGAGGGACATAAGAGTATTTTTGAGTCATGTTTTGATCAACAAACAGCAGTTGTTGTTTTTTTGGTGAATTATTTGGTTTGACCTCATTCGCAAAATAGATTTGACTAATTCAGTCACAGGACAGAACTTCTTGTGACTGAGGAAATTGTTACTTACCCAGCTTAGGAGAGAAGAAAATGAGAAAATATAATAAAATCTTAAAAGACAAAACTTGACAAAGCAGCAACGCTCAACACATGCGACTTTTAACACAATAAAAACAGATATGGAAGCTGTTGAAATGACTTCTTTGGACACTAATAGTTAATGCAGCCACATAAACATCTGTAAACAGCTCAGAGACAGGAGATGGTAGGAAAGCCAGCTGGCCCAAATGGAACTAGGACTGGACAATCATTTAATGCAAACATATCTTGTGATATAGTTTTATTCATTAATAGTGATTTGACTTTCAAACACAGTTACTGTACTTCAATATAGTTACGTCAGGGTTACGGTGTTTGTCACTTTCTGACCTTCAGGACGCAGCGGATTAGAGTCACACAGAAAGAGACGCTACTGTCTGACAACATGTGTGATGGCGTACAAAAACTGCAGGTCAGTGGCTGCAGCTGTAAGCTGAGCTCAGCGGCAGGCTAAACTCTCCAACACTTTGAGATTTTGCTAAAGATTTTGATTTTATTTAATTCTAACTGAGCTGATTATGGCTTCAATAAAGGTTTGATTTGTGGTTGAGTGCTTATTCGTGTTGTCAATTTAGTTTATTTATACAGTGCCAATTCACAACAACTTTACAGTTCAACCAGATCATACAGTCAAATTGATTCAAAGTTTTTTATCTTAGAAAAACCAGTTGATTGCATCGACTCATTGACTCGAATGCAATTCCTCACACTAGGCATGCTTGTAGCGACAGTGGAGAGGAAAAACTCCCTTTTAACAGGAAAACACCTCCAGCAGGACCAGGCATTCGCTGTCAGCTTTTGCTGTGCCCAGGTAAAACAAAATAGGGCGGGGTTCAGTTTTTAATTCTTTGGCTACGTTCAGACTTAAGGCCTTAATGCTCAAATCCATTTTTTTTTTTTGCGTTGCTGTTCACATTTCGGAATTTAAGCGACTCGTATGTGATCTCCTTTATGAAATGCATCCATACAACGCAAGTGTCCCGCATGTGCATTAGAGGATGCAATGACGTCACAAGCAAGCGTGCTCTGTGTTTATGGAAGCAAACATGGATGGTAGTGCTGGAGCGTATCTAGCGATCTTTCCCAACCTTAAAAACTCAATCTTTTCAAGATGGTAAAAAAAAAAAAAGACTACTCTCTGCATTACTGTTCGTCTCTGCATATCGTTCATTTTTTTCTTCCCACATCTGCATAGCAGGACGCTGAATAGTGACCTTTGTTGAGTATTAATGATGTTCAGGTCAGGTGAATGTGACCTGTCCGCATTTGAAAAGATCAGATTCGTATTAGATTCAGGTCCACAGAGCCAAGTGGCCTCAGTGGCACTGGAAAAAATCGGATCTCTGTGGAAATCTTATTTGGGAAATCATATTTGGGTCAATTCAATCTTTCAGTGTCCTTGTGTCCTTGGGCAAGACACTTCGCCTGCTTTGCCTACTGATGGTGGTCAGAGGGACTGGTGATGTCAGTGTACGGCAGAGTCACTTCTGACAGTGAGTCCCAGTGCAGCTGTGGCTACAATTTAGTTTGCCACCATTACTGTGTGAGTGTGTGCATGAATGACTGAATGTAGTTTAAAGCGCTTTGGTCAAGTCGCCTGACTTGAAAAGGCACTTTAAAATTGGGGGTGAGTATTGGCGTGTGTGTTGCGATACATGACACGATACTTGGGTCACGATATTGCAATATCACTATATATTGAGATATTTTACCCAGCTATCAAAATGGAGCGTATAGATAAAAAGAAAGTGCTGTTTATATGTTTATCAGAAGATATTGATCACTTAGTTATTTTGGTATCCATGTTGTTTGAGTCAGCCCACGTCTTCCACTGTGACTGCTACAGAAATGGTGCTGCACTGCACAGCAAAGGGGCTCCATGTGTTGTGGTCCAGAGGTCTCTCAACTTTTCTCCACCAGAGGGAGCCTGAGATCTTCCTCCTGAGGGCATGAGCAGACTTCTGCACACCTGCTCCCCATCTGCTCGTTTGGAGGCTTTTTAAGGAGGAGGAGGCTGACACTTCTCTGCCAGTTTTGCCAGTAATGGTACCGGCAAACTTTGAGCCTGCTCAACCCAGATCTGCTTCCTGATTTTGAACCCACCTGACTCTGTGTTTTTCTGCCTCTCAGATCCTGAAATATCTGGAGATCAGCCAACTTCAAGACAAAACTCTCGCTGCCTGGAGCCTTACCTGTCTGCCCTCCGCCTCCGCCTCAGACCTCAGCCCTCAACCTGCCGACCAGCCTCTGGACCCTCAAGGTTTCCCCCCCCGACCGGTCAAATACCCCTGAGCAGGTATTTAACCTTAACTGTCACCAAACAGCAAGTTACCTGGATCCACGCTAACTGTTTCTGTCCTCTTCTAGTTGCCCCCCTCCAATGATCAGCCTGACGAATCAAGACAACCATCACCTTATCTTAAAATATTGTCAATAAACCTCTTAATTGTTTTTCCAGTCTCTTGAGTGTTTTCTGCATGTGGGTTAGAAGACTAGACCCTAACATGACACATGGCGCTATCTAGCAGAGTGGGGTGCAGAGGCAGCCCATTTCCTTCATTGTTTTAGATTAAAAAAAAAAAAAAAATCGATATTAGGAACTGAAAGATCGATTTAATAATGGGCAGCTGAAAATCATGATATATCGGCAAATAGATTTTTCCCCTGTCCCCTATATGTAAGTACAAGCCATTTTCCATTTAATAATATTAACAAACAGAATAGCATTAGTCCAACTAGAGCAGTACCTCTATAGCATCAATAAGGGCTCATCTTGGTGTTTAAAGCTGTGAAATATGGCGTGATTAATATGATGAGGGAGAAATAATTACATAATTAACTGCGCTTTTTTTTGGCTTGGCTCTCCGAATTATATATATATTTTTACAAGTATGTCATAATTTATGAGTTTCATAGAAAATAATTTTTCAGAAGAAATCTGTAGTACGCTTTTTGAGCTTTTTTGACAGTTTTTTCAAGGCTTTTATTTTATTTATATCACTATTGGAATCTTACTGACTGAAATTAAGAAATATACCGTGATATACATTTTGTCCATATTGTCCAGCCATATATTGTATCAAACATATAAATGAGCAATAATTAAGTCAGATGTACAAAGCCTGTTCAATTTCCCACACTTTCTGCTTACTTGTGGCATTTTTACCATCCCTGTGTACCCATTTCTTTAGTAGCATAAAACTCTGTGCTGTCAGAGAATTTGGGTTTTCCACTCTGATGAAGTTGATTTCTTCCACTGAGAAATTCAACTCCCTGGCCAGCTCTGTAAAAACAAAAAGAACAAAGCGTCACAAAACATTATCCATTGCAGTAATTAGAGAGAAAGAAAATAAACATTTATTTGACTACATAATGTATAAAATGTCTGCATATCCTTATAATATTAATAATAATATATATTTAAAAATGCACTCTGGAAGTGCAGACCTCTGCCAAGCAGCAAATCTTCCCCCATATTGTGACTTCAACCTTTAGCCAAAACTCACACATGATCTGAATCATTACGACATTTTAATGAATTTCCCCCCTGACACGAGGCGCACCTCTGGTAAAAATTTCTTCAAAATCTGTTCATAACTTTTCAAGTTATCCTGTACACACGCAGACGGATAGACAAGAGGTAATAATAATAATAATTATCATCAAATGAGTGCTAATAGTTGTCCTAATGCCAAATAGTCTGAAAAAAATAAAGTACTGCTGCACACATGGGTGCTGGTTGTATGGATGGATGTTATTTAGCAAGAAAATGGTTTTAATTTGAACTCTAAGCTGCATACATCAGAAACTATGTCGTGATTTCTGATTATGGCACAATTCACTATACATTTTTAATAGAATTAAACAATCACACTTTAAATAAATAACCTGCAACTGTAGAAATATGCCGAACACCCACTCAAGCTAACGAGAAATGGGGAGATTCTGCATGCTGAAAGCTTAAAATCCGAACAACTCTGTAAGCTACAGCTGCACAACAGAAGCTCACATTAAATATAGATTCTTTACTCTAGATAGATGGAAAAAGCTCTACAACTGAAATCTGTACAAAGTGACAGGGTCACACCTATCTGTGCACATGCAGGCCAGCGTGAATCTGTACTGCAGTGCAGGATGCCAAGCTTCGACTGAAATGCAGAGGCCACACCCCTATTACTGCTGATGGGGAAAAATACACAAAAATATCCTCCTAAACCAGAGAGAAAACCAGAACCGTTGGGAAAAGGACTGCAGGACGGTTTGAAGTCCTTTTTGAAGACGAACGTTTATTTCCCATTCCATCAAACCTTTGGCTTTATAAGATATAAACTAATCAAAATGAACAAAAGTAGAAAGTTGAAATAGTATACTCTAAGATAAATCTCAGATAATTCTACTTTCTAACCCAACCACTGAAATACATAAACTTTTAGATGATTTTCTAATTTAATAGGAGGCGCCTGTAATTGAGCCAACAAACATTAACTTGCATGTCTTGAATTATTGCAGGAAATCAATCACACGCAGCCTCACAATAATAAAGTGCCTACTCTAATGCAGCAAATCCCACCTATGAGGGCCAGAGGGTGATCCCGCAAAAAATGGATTAGAACAGCAGTAGGTCTGAGTTAAAACCCATCGACTAAGCTGAATGAACCAGTAACTTCCTATAATACACAGTTTGAAGCAGTGCTATGTGTTTTATGTTAATACTCTGACTCCAGTGATTAGGTTACAATAAAAAAAACTCAATATATGAATCATAATATTATGACTAACCAGTATAAATTCCACTGCGGTGCTGCTCAATAAAATTGCTTTAACTCTCCACTGGATGGCAACAGTGTAACACTATCAAACTCAAACAATGAAGCCTGATTTTAAGCCAGCTGAATCATCAGTCTCATCTTCATACTTCCTTGGTGCATTCTGCAGAAAACCGAAACGTTTTTAGAAGCTCACCGGTCCAGCTGAGGCCGAGGTGGTCGGCTACGATCGCCATACGGACGTTTGTTCTCTCACATGGGCTTTGAGGGCCTGAGTGAGTAAAGGCAGAAAACAAACACTTAGCAGCACATAAAGATGGTAAGATCCAAATGAGTTAGATATGATTCACAAACAAACAAAATGTCTTTCAAAGAGCTCACTAACATCTACAGAAAGAAACCCAATGGGATAGTAAACTTAGAGTCGGCTCATAATAATATGATGCAACTCCAAAGGCACTGACAGTTATTTGGGAAGCTAATGTCTAAAGTTAAAATAAACAATAATAAACATGATCTTTTTTTTTCATGATGGTATAAAATATTTTATCTTTATTGATCCAGATCTTAATTTTTCTGGCCAGACTCTCCTCAAACTTTATGTCCTAGTTGGAAAAAAATATCCAACTTTCAAGTTGATTAAAAAACTGCCAGCAATAAATAGAAAAATATTCAAAGTAAAGCTGAAAAATATTAAATTTACTTTTAAAAGTAGATCAGCGAGTGTTAACCCTAACCCTAATCCATGACTTTCTTGTAAAGCAGCCCTGTTTTCTTATCTTCTACTGTAATAAGGTACCTTATTGTGGGGATTTTAATATGTTATGACATTACAAAACAATTGCTATTCCAGAAATTTAAAGCGGTTATTAGAAAATGTTTAAGAGACTGTAGCTGTGACAAACAAAGCTGAACAAGGACATACGTTTCAGCTTTAAGCACACAAAATACGCAATATTTTCTTGAGGGGAAGGCCTGGATGAAGACTTTCCTGTCTCACCATCAGCAAAGCATGTAAACATGTTTGATTTACTAAATGTTAATGAGACTTTAACTTGGACTGTGTGCTTTTGTCAAAAGAATGTGTGAAAAAGCATCTCAAACCTGCAGCTTAGAGGTGAGCAGGATCTATGACGTACAGTAGTGGGCCTGTTATCTCAGAAACCATTTAGAAACATTAAGAGTGCATTGCGTAACCACAGCTTTTAAATATTGGGAAATTTTAATAGAAAATCAGGTCAATATAAGGTGATTTACTCCAACTTTGTGAAACAGCAAAGCAGTGAAGTAAGTGATTTCCAACTGCACAAAGTATTAACAGGAAATGCAAACTGCATTGTAACTAAACTCCAGCTTTCCTTCTTTGTATGATTTCTTAACAAACAAACACAAAATTTATTCTTCACAATAAAAGTTTTTTTTAACGCAGACATGAACCATCTCTACTCAAAAAATTATATTATCACCTGAACTTCTTTACAAATTTGCTACATGTAAGCCAAACTTCAATTTGATATATTTTTTTTGTGTATTAAACAACCATAAAATACTGCAAAATCATTTGGTAAAATAAAAAAAAAGATTTTTGTTAAAACTTTGTGCCTAAAAAATTCATGGGATTTTTATTAGCTCCAGAATTTGTTTTGTTTGAATTGTTGCTATATTGATCTTGAGCAATTAGACATTATATTTTGTATAAGTAGCTTAAATTTATATCTAACACAGAGAAACTATGTTCGTCATTTAAATTGTCTTGCCACAGATTCAGGTTCAGATAACTACAAATATAAGTAGTTGGTTGAGCTGCATGGGTATCAAAGTAAAGAGGGCTTAATACAAACGTACCTGACAAAATTCAAGATTTTATTTTATAAATAAAAGAAAAAAAAAACTTCCATCATTATACTCAATAATTATGCAAAACTACATATTTGATTGAAATACAAACTGACATTGCAGGTAAAAATCTGACAGCTGTTTAAAAAAAAATAAATAAAAGCAGCGCCAAACATCTATTGATCAGTAGTATTTAAAGCTTGAGGATTTGTGAGGCCAGAAAAGTGGAACACACTTTCATCTTAAATGTCTATCCGCTTATATTAGTAATAACAGTTTTTGTACTTAAGAGGTTTCTATCTCAACACTAAAAATAAACTGTATATCTCCTGGTAGATTTTTCTCTCACTGATAAAAACAGCTAAAGGAAACCAACTCACTTTAATTTTGTGGAATAGTTACCAGCTAACATTTTTTTGACAATATATTGTTCTTAAAGTGATTTGATAAAGCAGAAATACCACAAAATGATCTATTTAAACCAAATGAACCAACCTCCCTCTCACAAAAAAAAAGAAAGATAAATTGTTCACTAAGTTAGGTTGACAGTGAAGGTGAAAACTGTGTCTCCTTGTGAAATGTAAGGCTAAAGTCACTGGAAGTGCAATCAAACTGACAAGAGTGCAGACACACAGTATAAAGGGGAATTTATCTCAATTCTGCCACTTCAATGTCCCTGCAAACCACTGGTCCTAAAATAATTGATCATACTTTTCGTTATTTTTGATACACCCAAACCTAACCTAACCTAACCCCAAAGGAAGGAAGTTTATCTCTTTGCCTCTTCAACAAGGATTACCAACTCCATTCCTCATGGGCTAGTTTCCTGCATGTTTTAGATTAACTCCACTGCTAGGGATACCGATACTTTAATTATCTCCTCAGCATGTGATCAAGTTCTGCAAAGGCCTGGCAGTAAACAAAAATATGATTTAAATGTGTTCAATCAGGGAAAGACCTAAAACATGTAAGACTCTAGCCCTTGAAGACTACACCTTGCCACCTCAGCTCAGAGCTACATCAAACAGCACAGGACACAGATAACAGGAAGGACAGGAAGAAGACAGCTACACTTACAGTACGCCACATTACAGACCACCAACAATAGCTACATGCATCTTATAGAGAAAGATAAAGTGCTTAAAATGTTGAGAAAGAGTTTACAAACTAGTCTCGTTCTCCATCACAGGAGTCCTGTTTGGTTGATCAACCTGACTCCCTTCCTCCATCTGCTCACGCTTCTTCTCTCCATGTGTCCACCTAATCTTCAGCTTGCTCGTCCTCAGCCTTTGACTGAGATCTCTAGTGGGTGGTGGTGATGTGGTGGTGGAAGTGGGGGTGGAGGTAGAAGTGCAGGAAGGACGGGAACTCCTAGAAGCTCTAGACGGTTTTGACAGGGATTTGTTCCTGGCAGTACTGTGGAAGCAGCCCTCCTCATTGGAGGGAAGAGTTTTTCCCACTAACTTAGGTTCAGCCTCCTTGAGTTTAGTTTTTTTTAAATGGTTGGCTGCCTTGCTTTTAACAGCCTTTGTTGAAGAGTTCCTTAAGACTATTGAACTATTATCACTTTTGTATTGGGGTTGAGTTCTTCCCTTTTTAACATTTTCCCTATAATTTCCTCTAACTGTAGGACTGTTTTTGGCCAGCATCTGCTCTTGGAAACAAGAAGGGTTTTTAATGGCTTTCAATATAGGGATTCGGGATTTTGGAAATAAAGATTTAAAAGGGTCCAGTCTTTCCCTGACTTCATGTTTAATCTCATGTGTCCTAAAAGAGAATCCATCAACATAAATACCCATTGATACATGATCCCTTTGACTGCATAGATTGTGGCCAACTACCCTCAAGGGCAACTTGGATCTGATTATACCGCCTTTGACTCCTTTGGCCATTTTTGATATTGCTATATTAGAAACAACCTTTCCTTTTGCATAGTGTTGCTCCAGCTGGCTTGAAGAAGCATCTATCCTACTAACCTCCCGCTGAGTTGGTCTTGAAGCAGACAACATGCTACATACAATACCGCCAACTTGAGCAATGCCTAAACTGGCGTTAGATGGAGTGCTACTAGTATTATTGCTCATTTTTTGCAGATTATTTGTCTGTTGTGAAGGTGCTGAAGGAAAATATTGGCTTTGGTGATAAGTATTTTCAATTTCTGAGGTTGGTTTTGGCATACCTGAACAAGTATTGTTTTTAGAGTAGTATCCCATAGCATATGACTGTTCCTTCAAAGAGTCATCTGCTATGTTTGTTGTATCAAAATGACAGTAATCTGCATAGTCTGGTATAATACTATAAAACCTATCTACAGTATTCCCTGAGACTTCATCACTACTGTTATTAAAGGTGCTTGTATTAGTAGTGCTATTTGACGTGTTAGGGGATGTTAGTGTTAAACCTGCTCTAAAAGTGGAGAATTTATTGTCGATGCTGGAAGCTGGCTCTCTGCATGTGCTGTAACCAGACACATTGGGTATCTCTACAGTGGTAGTCTGAATAGAGACTTGAGGGACTGATAAGGTATAATGAGAATTAAACTCAATTATTTGTTGTGCGGAGGCATCCTTCTCTAAGTCCCTGACCCTGTACCTTCCCGCTGAGTAGTAATGCTCACCAATCTGAAAAAACTGGAGCCTTTCCTCCACCATGTCCCTCTTGCTCATGTCAATTGCACCACTGCGCGTCATCTCAAACATCTTCCCTTCATGGAAGGGGAAAGGATTTGGTTCACTCGTTGGGGTGCTATCATCCGTTGGAGTTTGGGCAGGGGTAGTTTCTGCTGTTGTAGCCTGAGACTGGTCTTCAACTGCTAGTCCATAAGGCTTTGGCTCCCCATTGTTGTCACGTGACCCACCCATATCAACGATTTCTCCTTCACCACCTTTACTTGACCATGGATCAAAGTCAAGCCCTTTAGTGGCAACAGTCTTAAAAGGAGAATTGAACTCCTCTTCTATTTTGTAACTAAAATAAGAGTCTGAAAATCCCTCTTTTTCTGAGGGTCTTTGTTCCTGGGTCTTTGCTTCATCTTTACTTACACTTTCAAAATTTCCATTACATGTAGATGTTTCTTTTTTCAAAGTGTCCTTCTGTAATTCCTCTGGTGTCTTTTCCTCCTCAATAACTTCAAGTTTGGTCGGGGGAAAAGACCGATCAGAAGACCTAAATGTGTCTGTTGTCCAGACATCTCTCCGGGTGTCTGAAAGTCCAAGAAGCCGTAAGTCAGCCTGCTCGCACAGGCCATCATCTTCATCTTGAAGCTCATAGCCATCAAGAGAGTCTATCTCTGTGGCATCTGTGTCATGAGAAAACTCAGCTGTTGTGGCTATAGAACAGTCTGTTATTGACTGATCATTTCCATTTTGTTCACAGTCATTTTCCTCACCTTTACCATTGGAAACTTTGGAACCATTGGTGGAACCGTTGGACCCACCAGGTTCTTTGTTGCCATTTTTGTCATGTCTTTTGGGTTTAGGTGCTTTTTCTTTCTCCTTTTTATTTTCCTCCTCAGGAACATTTGAGGCCAATTTCTTACAAGGAATTGGTTGGAAGATTGACTCATCATTTTCGTCTTCTGCATTAGATTGACTGTCATCTGTACTAAGGGGCACAGGCGTAGGGGGTTGTATACGTATGACAGGTTCAGTTAGATGCTTGTCATGTTCCTCCTGTAAATTCACTTCCATCATTTCGGTTTCTGTCTCTGAAGAAGCACATGAGTCCTTTCTCTCTGTGTCTGAAATTTCTGAAGCTGAATCCAGAGGGGGCGGGGGAGGAAACTCAATATATGCAATGCCCTTGTCTTTTGACATTTCTTCTTGCTCCTTGCCTTTTGTTTCACCAACAGTGTTGTTGATTGTTTCTTCTATCTTAAAATTATCAGGCAACTCCTGTTGATTGTCATTAATTTTATTTTCTTCTTTATTAGCATTAACAAGGTCTGCTTGTGCATCATGGACATTGGTTTTACTTTCAATTGTTGCCTCTTTTAAAGAGAAAACTGTATTTCCTTGACCATCTTCCTCCGAGTCCTCAGACACCTCCATGATGGGGCTTGGCTTGCCCGAAATGAATTCTAAAAAGCCATCAGGTGTTTTGCACGTGAGATCATAGCTGACTTCTTCAGAACTGGGGGTTTCTGGTGTAAGAGGGCTTTTACCTGAACTGTCTATGAAAGAAACTTGTTCTAAAGTGTCATCCTCTGGGCTTATGGGACTAATTGCAGAGTTTGACTTCTGTTTGACTGTGTGCAGTGCTCCCTTAGCCTCCCTCTCTGCCTGTCTGCCAACCTGGACATAAACAGGCAATGTTTTAATGCCTTTAAAGTTTTCTTTGGTTGTTACAGTAACTGGAGGGGTTATTACATTTTCCAGTATTTCTCTGGGGCTAGGTAGGTTATTGGAGTTTGAATCTTTTGGTAAATTATCAAGGATTTCAAATGTAAGCTCTGTTTTTGCTAGGCCTGCATCTGGACTTTTAGGTTTAGATAGTGTAGGAATCTGTGAGGGCTTTGTTGTTATCTGTTTCTTTGTGAGACTGTTATCTAAACAGGGGGCTGTTGTTCTTACAGGTATCTGAGATTCTGTCTTTTTTCTAAGGTTTTTGTTTAGTGGTTCCTCTTCATCCTTCTTTGGCAGTTCAGATTTTGCATCTTGGTTAAATGACAAATTTTTTTGGGATTGCTGATATTTTTTACCGTCATTGTCACAAACATTGGGGGTCCTAACAGCATGTCTCTTATTACTTTCTTTAATGTCCTGGGTTTCCCTAAATTGACTATCTTGACCTCTAAGTGGAGCTTTATCAGTCTTAGTTTCACTAATGTTGTGGGAGGGTTCAATTACATTTTTGTTTGGGAGTTTGTCTGTTGTAGGAATTTTAGATGTGTGTATCAGGCCAGGCTGGCAATCTTCTTTGTTCCTAGAAGTCTTTTTTTGTATATGTTCTTCTGAGGTCTCGGGTGCTTTTGATGCTTTTCCTGCATTACAAACCTGATAAATGGGAAGTTTGCTTTCCTGTAGTTTCTTTACTGATGGTTTTGGTTGGACTGGTGGAGGAACTTTAGTAGGACTAGACTGACTTTGACTGGCCTTCTGAGCTGCAGATTCAAACTTCATCCTCACTGCACTAACCTTAGATGTTGAGGTTACATGGGAAGGGGAAGGTGGTTCTGATACAGTGGTCTTTGGTTCTTGTTTGACTTTATCATCACTTGTACTGAAGAATACACTTTTCTGCGGACTGCTTGGCACGCTAGAGCTTTTACTTTCAACTTCTGTGCAGCTACCAAAAAATTTACCAACTGAAGCTTCCTTAAGTTTCGTTTTACTGAACACCCCATCTCCTGCTTTAGGTTTCTGTTGTGTTTTTTCTGGACTGCTGCAGGCTGAAGTAGGCCAGGATCTAGGCTCCTTCAGTCGTCTCACTGGCTTTTTCTCAGGAGACTGAAGCTCATCATTAAGCTTCTCTGTTTTATCACGGAAAAATTGAGATACCTCACTGAGCTTTTCCTCAGCTTCCTTCACTGTCTGATCTACACGATCCTCATACAGTAGTTTGTCCCTGCTTCTATCATGCTTGTCCTCAGTAAATCTCATCCATACAGCATGTTTTGGACTGCCCGGTTCTGTTGAGTAATGGAGCACTGTCACCTTGTCAAACTGAGATGGTTCATCCTTTTGCAGGAATTTACCTGATTTAGGGGACCCATCTTTTGAAGACGAAACAAACTCTCTTTTGGGGCTTCCTTGCCCTTGGTTTGTACCCTCAGATCGACCATTTTCCTCAGAAACAATGTGATGGTTTTTATCAGCTACTGTTGAAGAATCTTCTACATCTGAATAAGACTGCATTGATGTTTCAATCTTTTCTGAGAGAAGCATTTTCTCAGCAAACTTATATGACTCTCCTCGGACTTCAGACAGTTCATCATCACAATATTCTATGGAGTGCTGGCTTAAGAGTTTTAGAGCTTTATAAGAGTCATCTCCTATAAGTTGGGCAGAACTAGGGCGACTGTCCTCTTCTTGTGATACTGGAGTGTTAACACGAGAAGTTTCCAGGAAAGAGGGCAGAGATTCTTCAGCAGTAAAATCTTCCTCTTCCTGCTGGGGCTCATCATAATCAGTAAGCTCCCTGATCCCACGATCACTTTTGTAAACGTATAGCTCAGGGTGTTTCTTTGTTTCTCGGAAAATAACCTCGGTTGGATCTGCTGTGCTGTGGCCCTTTTCAATATGGACCTCAATTATCCTTTCAACTTTGGGTTTGGATTTAATGTCCCGATCTAGAAACCTGGGAGTCAGCTCATCACCTTTAACCATGTCTTGATTAGATTGGTGCTCAAAGAGGCCTGCCAGTTCTTTTGATGGGTCACGACCTGATTGAAAAGCTTTCATGATATCTCTGACAGACATGGCTTCTTCTAACATCTCTTTGCCATCAGTTAACTGAGGCTTGTGATATACCATACGAGTTGTGGTCGTGATGTGAGTTTCCTCTTTGAGACACATGCTTTTGTTCATCAAGGCATCATCTTCTGGCATTTTCATTTGTAAAGCTGTTGTCGATTGGCTTTCCGACTCTAAAGGAGGTAAAGCACATGCAGCCTCCTCTATAAATGCAGGCTCGGAAAGATCATCTGGCTGATCAAAGCTCCTAATGTGGACAACCTCCGTTCTGGTCTCAGTTACACAAGGGGGGATTGGGGAATCTGTAAATAAAGGTTTAGGTCCTGTACTTTCTGCACTTTGAGGAGCGGAAGGAGTCTTTTCACTTCTCGTCTCAAACCCACTGTCTGACAGGGGACTCTTATCCTGCTCATGAGAAAGCTCCTCAGGGGATTCCAAGATTGTGTCTGACCCTTGGTATGACTCAGCAAGCTTGCTTAAGTCTTTCTCTGAAGGAGACCTGATCATGCCTGAAACAGGCGGAGGCATTTTAAGTTTGTTCTCCTGTATTGTCATTGATGGTTTGAGGACTCGTTTTTGTTTTTCCTCACCTTCCTTTTTCACTTCATCCTCATACTTACTTTTCAGCTCTGCCATTTTTGACAGAGAACTTGCACCAATATCATTTGTTAAATAATCTACTACTTTAGTTAACTCTAATTCTTTGTTAGACATCAACTGTTGCTTAAAAAGATTGTTTTCACCATACTGAGGGTAGTAGTCTTGAAGGGCATTTCTTTGAGCCTCTTCAATCTCATCTCTAGTAAATTCCTCCCACTCATCCTCTGAACTTGTCTCCTTACCTGCAATGGTCTTACCTTCAGCCATGATATCTTTTTGTAGTATCTCACTGACTTTGAATAAATCTTTTTTTACCTTCTCAACTAATGTATGTGGCTCCTGGTCTTCTAACTTAGACTCTTTAGGAGTTCCAGTGTTTGATGTCTGTACAGTTTTAGCAGCCATTTGTGTATCTGTCTGGAGAATAGCTGTCATTCTGATAAGATCCTGTTTCATTTCTGCTACATCTTTCAGTATCTCCTGATTTGAGGCTGCGGTTGGATGGATTACTGGTGGTGTTATAAATGGAGGAGATTTTAACTGAGATTTCAATTTTGTTCCAGTAACGCATGAAGGGAATGATGAAGGGGATGAGGATGAGGTAAGAGGAGAATCGGGCAGGGCCATTTTGAGAGACCCTGGCCCTGGTTTAACAGGGCTGTCAGGGATGACATTGATAAGTGAATAAACAGGGACAGTCATTGTATTAGAAGAGACTGCTGGACTTGAGACAGCAGTTCCTGATCTCAGAGAACCATAAGCAGAGGTTACTGTTGCAGATCTGCGTGAAGACGACAGAGACCTAAGTGTCCCATAACCTGAGACTGAGTAAGAGTCTAAAGCTTCATTGATGGCTGCACTGACACTGGAAGTTGCTGCATGGGTCGTGGCTTGGATCCTTTCCTGAAGACTGCTGCTTCTCTCTGAGAGAAGACGTGACGAAGGGGAAGAAGGGGTGGAGGAGGAAGATGGGTATTTAACGGGTGACACTGATCCATTCATCATGGAAAACTCAGAGGAAGGAATGGTTGTTTGACCAGTTGACGAAAGAGGGGAAATCGATGTCCTTCCTCCTCTAGAGGTGAGTGTGGCTTCAACAGAAGTTTTTAGAGATGAGAGACTAGAGTTGCTTTTTACAGCAGAAAAGGTGGTGGCTTCTGTAGCAGCAGTGTTCACAAGGGCAGTTTTAAAAGGCAGATTAGAACTGTAGAAGTTGTATAGAGATTTGGGGGATGTGACAGAACCAGTAATGGCTGAAGAACTCTCAGATAAAGAACCATTTGGTATTGAATGATTGAGAGGGATCCTCGATGTGTATGCTGAGGCAAGATTTTTAATTGAAGCTGGATCAGTGGCAGGTTTACTTCCAGATGTCGCAAGGATGGCAGATCCATGAGCAGGGTATGGACCCTGCTGGACAACGGTTTTAATGGGTGAAGGCACAGTCCTGTAAGACCTGATGGGAGAGGATGGTAAGTCGCCGATTGATTTAACTGGGGATGAAGAGGCAGGTGGTGGTGGTGAAGCTCCCAAGGTTGCTTTTGTAGTACATGCAGGTGAAGGTGCTGAAAGTTGCCAGGCAGATTTTAATGGAGCACAAGCTGGTGAGCCTGCCGGTGAATCGGCAGAGGTGAGGAGACCCCCCACTCCTGTGAGCCTTGTTTGGCCAGGGACGGTAATAGGAGCAGTCGACCATGGTGGGTAAGGTCTGGTTGGAAAGACAGGTTTGTGAGGGTGACCAGAAGGCAGTGTTCTTGTTGCTGCACTTCGTTCGACTGCTGTTTCTTCGGTGAATTTAGAGAAAAATGGTGACAAACGGATGATGTAGAAAATAACAACAGAATGCAAAAGAGTAGAGATAACAGGGGGAAAAAAATATGTTTGGGGAAAAAAATAAAGAGGAAAAAAGACAACACCAGAGGAGGAAGAGTTGGTCAGTTAGGCAGTCACATCATTAAGGAGGGAAACACTACATTTTAACTGCTGAGTAAGACATTTGAGTAAGAACAAAAAAAAAAATGGAGCTGCAAAAAATGAAATTGTGTTCTGTGTGGTAAAAAAAAATGTATGTATGTAATGACTCAACCAGCTCCAGGTCATTTTGCCCCTTTGCTAATGTGCATTGCCATTTTTTGACCAAGCTATTGACATTTTGTTTTGTTTTACTTGACTTTCATTCTTATTCTATAAACATACAATTTTGTATCCACGTGTCTACATAATAGGCTATCAGTCTACTTTTAAAAGGAGTTAGTAAGTTTAATGATAGACCTAAATTTCTCAGATAAATTCATAGGATGTTGTCAAATAGTTTCCCTTACAGATTTTATCTACTTTTGCTTTCCTAGAATCTGATATGTTGCATAATAATACAAAACTAACCTGAATACATATTAAAGCAGTTTAACTGAGAACTGATTGAGGATTTCTTAGCCTACATCATGATGATAAAGATTTAACTGGTGTCTGATTAACCTGAATTGTCTAAAATGTGCAGTAAATCCCTGTCCATTCGGACTTCAAAGCTGCAGTAGGGATTTCTGAGAAAATCATGAAGTTAGCCAAAAAATTTGAACAAGCACTTTTTAAGCTTGATTTATGCTTGACACATCTATGAGGCTCATTTAAGTCATTTTTAGCTTTCACGCCCCTCTGTGCAGATTCCATACAGACAGAATTTAGACACCGTGCAACTCAAAAAAATCATAACGATGAAGACAGATCTACGCTGAAAAACAGGATGAGCGAGTAAACAGCTCTTACCAGTGAGGCTTTGCAAATATACGCAAACATCTAGAGACATCTTATGATTTAGCTCATAAACAAAAGATTGTAAAACATTTTTGCAAAACAATGACCGTCACTCTTGGATGGAATGAAGGGGCTTAGAAAAAGTTGCAAACGCTTCCCTGTGTAATGTGGTCGTATAAGCTTAGGGTTTGCGCTGCACATGCCCCCCCGGAGCAGGCCAGAATAGGAGAAAAGCTGCAAACAATGTGACAGCTGGCTAATTTTCCACACGCATTTTACATGCATCAAGCATAACCCAACCTTTTCAACAACAGTATGTGTGCTGATGGGAAGGGGTGTAAGAAGGATTACACATACCCCTTACACTTCTCCAATTGGTTGTTTCAGACCTGATGCAATGAATTTGTGCAAAAGGCAGTCAAGCCACTGGATGGGGCAAGAATACATGGTCTTCTAAGATGCCAGTAATTACATTTTCTTGGGTCAGGATGTAGATAAAATAATAATTTTATAACAGCATTCTGTATTATCTTCTGTCACTCATGTTTGGTGTTAAGTTTGTTTGATGATTTAAATGATTTATTTAAGAACAGTAACTGAAAAAGGAGAAATCTGTAAGGGGTAACAATCTTCATACTTTTCTCTATTATTTTTATTTGTTCATATCCTAGTTTGGGTTGGTTGACTCATGAATTATGACCCATGCCAAACTATAGGGATGCACAAGCTGAAATCTTTATATCCGAGCATCCCTCAGCATAACTCTACATGACCTTCTGTTATGGCCCCTGGCCTTTTAAGACTGTGCAGGTTTTGTTTTGTTATGCAGGTTCAGCTTTGATAAAACACCTTCCTTGCTGGCTGCCTGAAGGCTGCAGAGGAGCAGTGACCTCATTCGACCAGCAGAGGATTGCCAAGGCAATCAGATGTTGATGAGGCCCCCCCACCATATAAAAGGCTCCTGAAAGCTCTCAATTGGGGGACAGCTAGTAGAAGGAGGTTTAGTTAAGCTGTTCCCCCACCTTTGGTGTTTAAAACCGTTTTGGGCAGTTTGAACTCTTTGCTCTTGCTTGTTCTGTATATTGTTTGAATCTGCTTTAGGTGGACTTTGTAAAAAATGGAAGCTTGTGTTTGGGAGGTTTGATGCTCCCTTTGTCTTTTCCCTTGAGTTGTTTTGAGTTTAACTAAAACTGACTTGTTTGGAGATTTTGTTACTTAATTTGCACTTAACCATTCTTGAATTTGTTGCCTTTTATTATGTTTTAATTGGGTTACGTTGTATTACATTCCACTTATTTTCTCCGGACACATTTTTATGTTACCTTCCCAGAGCATGGGTGGGTAACACCTTCATTGATTCATATTGTATTTTGTGTCTAAACCTATACCTGTAAAGATTTCTTTTATATTCTAATTACAGCTCATTGTACGGACATTTTTTTCCCTCAAAATAAAAAGATAGAAATGTCTTTTTTAAAAGGTTTAAATTGATGCATTGTTTTCACAACATTGTATTGTTAAACCCTTCAATTTAAAGTATGAAATACTTGCCAACAGAATGGTCAAAAATACAAAGCTACGACCTGCCTATAGGGCAAAATGACCAGAACCTGACTCTAATAGCAGCAGCAAGAACTGAGGGAATGAAACCAACAAAGCACATAAAGCAGCAAAGTAAATTTACGAAGACGATGGCGTAGATTGACAGCTGAGGGACAAAATAATAGCAAGAAATATACACCAAGATAAACAAAAAACAACATGTCTCTTCGGACTTCAAATAATCTATTTTCACAGTGCCTTTTATCTGTTTTGCCCAAAATGTAAAGTCTTTTTCAAATTTAATTTCGGGAAATTGGACAATACGACAAAATAAAACAAAGAGCTGCAGAACTTCCAGTTTCCCTTCACCTTTCAAAACTAAAAGCAACAAAATATGACAAAATGTGCTGCCCAGGACTCCATTTTCAGCCCATTTTGTCATGCAGCATCACACCTGTGACAAGCAATAACTGGTAAAACAGAAAAGGAACTCGAGAACTCCTGCATGCAATCCTGATCCAAACCAAGCTGCAATAATGCCACAAAGCCAAAACGAGCTTTTAGATTCAAACCACCATAAATGCAAAAAACTGAATTTTACTTTGACTTCCATCCAAAAGAATAAATCTTTGTTGGTAAGTTAAAGTAAAATTTCCAGTTCAGAGGAAACTAGAAGGGTGTACACTTCACAATGTGGGAAAGCACAGCACACAAAACTCAAAAAACACTCATGCAAAAATATGTACCATGTCGTGAACAAGCACAAGGACAGTATGTGTCATATGCAGGATGAGAGATATGTGTTTGTTACAATAGCAAAATCATTTCTACACAAGATTAATCACTTTAAAAGTTAATTAAACCTCTGCACACTTATTGATGTAATAAAATTAGCATATTTTTAAAGTCTTCAAAGGGGTTTGTTAGTGACAAGTCAAACTCACTCTGTGCAGGCTCGGTCAGATAGCTGTAGCGCTTACGTAAGGCTAGGGATGCAAAGGTATGACGTCGATCTGGCTTTTCAGTCTGCAACAATAGCAAACAACACAAAACTCCTATTAGTTTTAGATCACCCTGAATTGCAAAGTGCTACAAAATGAGCACTTTTGAAATGAATAATTTAAACCAAACCTTTCAGTCTGACTTAGTTTATATTTATCTAACAACCAATCTATAATTATGCTTGTGGCTATAACCGGTGTGAATATAACAACTAGTGAGTTCTATCACAATAGGATAGGTGAAAAGTCAAATTTTGGAAGTTAATAGATCCTTTTTATCTTATACTTAAGTGTGCAAGGGACAACGACTAGAAATAAGCTGTGATTTTTACAAAGCTACTATATTTCATGCAACACTATTCAGCTAGAGGCGGACGTGAACGAGGAAAGCTGGTAACGCCCCTTGCAAGATATGGTAAAAGAAAAAAATGAGGTTAAAGAGCAGAGCGGGGCCACTACAGATTTGGCGCAGAGGACAGCAGATGGTGGGGAACGTGTGGTTTACCTCGTCCTCGGCATCTGACTCCGAATCCTGGTTCCCAGGATGCATTGCAGAAACGGGGGGAATAACATAATGGAAAGCAGGGGGGAAAAGAAACATCAGGGAGTGAAAAAGGAGTGATTGACAGAAGCTTAAACACTGAAGTGAAGCCACTTCAGTGAAACCAAAAAAAAAGAAGAAAAAACAGCACACAGAAAAAAGAAATATATATATATATATATAAAGCGCCATCACCCAGAAGCAATAACAGCAAATGAATCAAGCCCAAAACAGCCCGAAAATAAAAGATGATGAAAAAAATATTAAGCACACAAGCCCTCAGCTAAAAGCATTCAAATCATAAGGCAGGTTGAACCAAAACAAAACAGCCAATGACACGAATCCACTGCAGAGATAACCAGTGACTAAAACAGAGAGAGAAGCTTTAAACAGATAAAAGACACAGTGGCAGCAGATTTGCCAAAATTCTACCTCTGTCTTTCATCTATCTGCACCGGAGGGGGGTGGGGGGGCAAAAAACACCCTAACCATGGGCATGGTTATGGATGTGAAGACAGAATGGAGAGTTCACGCTGTCTTACCTTTTTGACTGCGGGAAGCGTAATATTCAGGTTGCACACGGCAGTCTGTGGAAGGCCTTTTGTTGACCTGCACTCTTTAAGGAAAGTAAGGCGACCGCATGGCTCTTGGCTCGGATCTCTAACCTGAGGAGAGAGAAATTCATCTCAAAATGTTATTATAGGTTTATTTAGTTGCAGTTTTTGTAAATAACAGTATTTATGTTATTTACGCAATTTATGCACTATTTTTGCATGCCACGTATCACTTTACTTGGATTTATCACTTTACTTGGATTTTCACTTTATTTGGATTTTCACTTTACTTGGTTTAGTTTTTACATATGCATAGATATACGTACATATACATATATATATATATATACATATATATATATATACA